AGATTATAGACAATTCATACATTCTTTAAAATAAAGCCAAACACTTAAGCACCTACACAGAGATGCATATGTTAATGTTAATCAAACATACTAACATACATATGTTAATCAAACACCAAGAACTAAACTTTATACTTATGACATGAAAGAAAGTATGGTAGGAAACGATGAAGGATTCTGTGGAATTCCCACTGATAAATTGCCTGGCCTATTTAAGTTGGATCAGACAGCCATTTGGTATCAACCATAAGCACACATCATGGACCACCCTTCTTACTGGACTCACAGTGAGCCACCCACAGAGAACTCACATTCTGACACACTTCAGTACCCTAAAGAGCGGGAACCCTGCCAGTATTAGGGACCAGTGTCCCGATGATGCTGTGCTTCCACAGAGTGACTCTTGAGGGCACAGTAGACAGTGTTTCCTCAGTTGCTGACATCGAGGGCCCCCTGTCGAGATGACTCTGGGAGCTCCACTCTGCAGCGGAGTCTGTCTGAGGGTTTTTGATGGCTCAGGATGTGGTTTCTCTCACTGTGCCTGTCGCACAGTAATACACGGCTGTGTCCGAGACCTTCGGGCTGCTCCACTGCAGGAAGGCGGTGCTGATGGATTTGTCTTCGGAGATGGTGAATTGGCCTTGGAAGGACGGGCCGTAGTGGGTTTCTGAATCTCTAAGGTCAATGCGGCCCATCCACTCCAGGCCCTTCCCGGACAGTTAACGCACCCAGTGGATCCAATTTGCATTTCCAGACCTCTTACAGGAGATCTTCAGAGACTCGCCGGGCCTCTTCACCTCTGCCCCAGGCTGTACCAGCTGCACCTGGGCCCAGACACCTGTAGATGCAGGAATCAGAGGTCAGAGGTTTGATCCTCCCACCCTTCTATGACCTCAATCCTGGGCCATTCCTGACCTGTGAGACCAGCGATGAGGAGGGTGAGGATGGTGGCAGACCCCATCTTGGAAGAAGGATGGAAAGGGACAGCAGTGAGGACCTCAGCAAGTTGGGGAAGGATCCTCCCCTGTGGAGGCGAACTGCGGGTTAAATGGGCTATTCTCCACTTTGTATATCCCTGTCCTACCTTCCAGACGAGACTGCACAGCCCTTATAACTCTAGATCCCCAAGGGACATAAGGGTGCTGGTCTTGAGCCTGCTGGGAAAGACAGGACACAACCCCGATACCAGCCCTCCGCACACACTCACACCGCTCACAGCACCGCAGCCCTGGACGGCGCCAAGCAGTGCCTCCCGGTCCCAGGGCAGCCCTCAGTCCTCATTGGGGGAGGGGAGGTTGATGGTGTGTGTGAGTCTGCAGCCCCAGAGGAGCCTGGCATCACCAGAAAGGGTCCCTTCCTCTGGTGCCTTAGGGAATCCAGGATATATTCAAGTTAGAAGTGTCTGTGTTCCTTTAAAGAGGGTTTGAAGCCTCTAGCTTCCCAGATAGCTCCTTCCA